ACTTTAACAAGCCAGTTAATAACAACTTTGTTGTTTATATTATAAATTTGAAACTATTATAAATCTGAAACAAAGCAGTAAGGAATAAATCTAGCAAACAAGTTGTAAAACATAGTTATTACTGCTGCAGTAAACCAAATCTTAAACCTCATATCAGCTGTTGAGAGGTTTAATTATTATTTTTTTTTAAAAAAATATCCTATTTATTATTTTTTCAGTGCCCTATAAAGTGCATCATAATCATAATCATAACCAACAAAACATAAATCATGGGCTGGGAAAGCCCTGAACATTAAGACATACTTTTAAAAGGCAAGAAAAATGCATGGCTAGTTTTTGTCCAATAGAACACTATTAGAACATAGTTTAGAAATGATCCTTGTTATATCTCAATAAGCACACCGTCTAGAATTAAAAAAAAAAATACTACAAGTAGACCTGGCCCTACTGTTAGACAGAGGGAGGAAACAGTCTCAAATGGCAGCAGTTGAGGGGCTTGCAGACTTCAGCTGTGGTTGGTGGAGGACACCATGTTTTTGTCTTTGCCAAAGATCTAGCAACTGACTTATCTGTAGACTGGAGCAAGGAGTTGCCTTGCCTTAATCTTTGTGCATACCAGTGTTCATCAGTCTTACTCAACTTGAATTTAACTCCTGGTGATTTCATGGACATGTCCACACAACTTTCTTGGCAACAACGTGGACGTGGTTCGGTGTAGTGGGGAGCAGTCGGCCCTTTTAAGAACAATCCAGCCTGATGTGCCCAAAGGGAGTCATCTGACCCCTGACATCCAACAGAAGAAAGGAAGGGGGTTCTGTCAGGTTTTGGGTGGGAAGAGTTTTGGGTGTCTTGTGGGAAAGAGTTGGCTGGAGTCCTGGAGGAGGGGGTGACCTTAGGCAAGATTGGAAATTGTGTTGTTTGGCAGTAGTGCATTAAGGCTTTTGGTATTTTTATCTTTTTAACTGTGGTTGGGTCTGTGGAACCTTATCTTCTTTTGGCATCTTTAATAAAGTTGATTTTGTTTCATTCCTGGAGTCAGCTGGTAGCCTTCTAGCACCCCCCCTCAGCTTGACTGAGCTACTGATTTTCAAAGTTTTGTGCATATGGTTTCCCTTAATGTATTAAGCTAAACCCAGGGCAGGGTGAGAATTTCCTCTCCTGGTTCCCCAGAGGGCTGGTGTGGAAGGGAGTAACTGGTTTATAGCAAAAAAAAAAAAAAAAGGGGTGGGGGAGGGATGTGGCAGCAAAGGGACCTAATTTTCCTGTTTGTTGCTCGCCCACAGGGATGGTTACTGCAAAACCGAAGATCCTCTGAGGAAGGGCTGGTTGAATCCTGAGGGCACCTTTTCCCTTATTACATTTGGCAATATCTTTGGAATGGGTTTTTCAATTTATCCTGGCACTTTACATTTTCTGGTATTCAAATGCCAACCCTGCCTAGTTTTCCAGGTTCATCCATGTTTGGCTAAGTGTCCATCAAGAGAATTTAAAAAGCAGTTTAGCATGTGTTTTGTCTCTATTTACTAAAGGAAGTGCCATTATTACCTGTCCAACAAGAACATTTCAGGAAGCCCCATTAAGAGTCCTCCTACACAACTAAGATGAAGTGCCCATGGATGAGACAACAGGCCTTCTCTGTGGCGGCCCCACACTTTGAATCTCTTTATTCCCAGAGTCCATAAAGTTCCCTCCCTTATAATTTTGCCTTAGTGTTAAAGAAATTTAAAGACAGTTTTATTTCACTGAGCTTTCAACTGTAGCTAAGCTTTGTAGGTGTCATCTTGTGGATGAGTTGATTTTTTATTGGTGATATATGGTTCCTGATGTTTTTTATAATCTTGATTTATTTATTGTTGCAGCTATTGTTTTAACTTCTTGTAGCCTGCCCAGAGTCTTTTGAGTTAGGCATGCAAAAAGATTGGCAAACAAACAAACATTGTCTCATCTCTTTCTAGTAAATCTCTATACTTGGTTTTCCTATATTCACCTTCTTGTTAATATTGTTTAAAAGCTACATCCTTGAGGGAGAGTAACTGAATGCTGGTTGACAATTGCAGGTGATTGCAAAGTAAATGCTGATAGAACACAGCAAAGAGACAAGCCATCAGCAACATTTAATACTGTGTCTTTGGGAGTTCAGGAGGTTAGGGTTAGTAATTGGAGGATTACAAATGTCTGGGAGATAGAACTGGATGGGTGGAGAAGGTCTGAACAAAAAGAAAAACATAACAATTCTTTGAATATATACTGCTTCTTTTGTTTATTACCAACAGTGGATGGTCAGTCACAACAATATGACAAACACCAGTAAAAAAAGTTATTGGTGTGCCAGTCAGCATCCTCTGTTTGTGTATGTTTAACAACTCAGTCTGTTCATGTCCATCATATCCATATACTCTGAATGTCAAGGCTTTTCCAGCTCTACTGAATGTCTACATTCTGAGTTCAGAGATTCATTATGGAACTTCTATATCTTTCATTTCTTTTTTTGCCACCTTTGATAATTCCTTTTGCTCCCCCAACTAATTTATTTAACTTTAATATTCTCTGTGCCCTGAGGATGTCTGCCATTTATCTCCTGCTGGATATCAATGTTTTAGTAGCAGGACGTTTCATGTATGTTGCAGTACTTGAGTTATCACCAATAAAGACAAGGAAGGAATAAGGGCACAGGAATGTATTAGTTATATCACTGGATGCTAGCCAAATATGCCCCAATTTATAAGCTCATCAGGTCTCATCCATGCTCCTTTTAAACTATATTCCATCACTTATGGATTCTAAAAATGTTAGATGTTTCACTGTTGTACAATTCCAGCGTTATGACATACCACAGAACTGTGCAGAATTTAAATAAGTGAGTTTGGGGAGGAGAAACAGTGATCAATGGTGGTAAAAGACTGCCACTTTAATCACAGCTGGAAATGTTAAAAAAAAAGTTGCTCCTTTCTATCTGTGGGATAATACAATAATGTGAAACAAAGTGTGCTGAAATTGTATATCATATTCCCATAATTCCTCTGAAATATCAGATAAAGAATTTGAAAAATGAAAGGAATCTCTTTTTTAAATCACCACTGAGAATTACCTGAAATCCTTGGAACTGCATGTTGCAGAAGTATCTACAATTTCACACTCTAATTCAGACAGACAGATGCACGTGTGCACACACACACACACATGTGCACGCACACGCACGCGCACACACACACAATGTTTTTGTTCATGGAACCTGTCTGGAAAGGCCCAACAGAACCCAAGTAAATTCTACATCTATAAATGGCATGGGAAAAGCTGTTGTCTATTAAATAATTGTGAAAAGAGACAAGGTAAATAAAGAGATAGTAGAGCTGTGCAGTGCTTTCAAACTAATCCTAAACAGATGTTCCAGAGCATGAACATAATGTTGTCCTAAGTTCTTTAAAGCTGCCACATCAGTCAGCACATGACCCCTGAAAAAGATGTGGATGTTTCAAAGATGCATCACGGTCTGTAACACCTTTTTGGAATCAAATCAGAAACACTGCCCAGCCCTAATAATAGTAAATATTAGTCCTATTTTCCCATTGCCTGGATTAACTTCTGTAGTCAAATCATTAGCTATCACGTTCTCAAACTACACATGGGAGAGAGGGAAAAATATATTCAAATTCATATTAAGATTGAATTACGTACCATTTACAGTACAGAAGAATCACTGTATTTATGGTGCACTATCTATTTCAAATAATAGTTCCCTAGAGAGTGGTTTAGATCATGGAATGTTCAGGCTGAGGAACTTGGTTTTAAAATTCCCAGAACCCCTGGTCGAGAGACAAATGTATTTATTTATTTAATTTATATGGCTGCCCATCTCAAGTACGTGACTCTGGGCAATAACAATAATTAAAAACAGAATTTAAAAAGTGGCACAACTTTATAAATAACCCAAATAGCAGCTAGGAAAAACAACCAACAGCAACAATTTAATCAATAATCATTTGCAACAGTTAATACAACAGTTAATTAAAAAGTTGTGAGTGGTCATGGGCACAAATGTCCTTGGGGGAGGGGAGCTTCTGAATGACAGCTGATAAACCCTTTCTGCATACCTTCAAAAAGTCCTTTCTGCATACCTTCAAAAAATTGCTATGGATGCCCTTGGTTCCATTCCAGTGAACTTCTTTTTGCCCGTAGTCTCTCACAAAACCCCATCAAGTTCTTGCAGAACCATAGAGTTCCACTGTGATGGAATGGTTTGGTGAAGGCCGCGCTTGGGGAGATAAGCATTTCTTTGGCCCCCAGAAAGACCGTGGGAAGATGAAGAGGATGAGACTGGCACCACCCTAAGGAATTCGCAGTGTTTGCTTGCTGGCTTGGGAAGTTTAGATTCAGTCTGGTGAGATTCTGTCTTGTAGGTAAAAGCTAATAAATGCTATAGAACTATATCTGTACTGTCTCATGGAGTTCTTTGGGCTGAACCTGACCATCACAGACCACAGTTTGAAAAACCTTGGCTTAGATAGTGCAAATTGGCAAGTACAAAAAGATAATCAAGGATAAACTTCTCGTTTCCTGCTTGGCCTGGCCAGTTGTATTTGATTTCCCTGATAATGCAAAGAATTTTGTGATACATTCTGGTTTTTGTTTTTTCCAGCAAGTTTTTTCTTATGGTTAATCTTGCCTGTATTCTGGCCCTAGCTCTAGATTCATGCTCCCTCTTCCTTTTATCTGTAACAGCAGTCTCAGTTAAGTCTGGCAAATTCAACATCTTTTCCATGTTTGGATTCATTTCTTGAATTTCAAAAGATAAAACAAGCAATCGTTAACTCATTTGGCAATTTCAAAAAAATCTATTTCAAGTGCAGAACAATCAGGGATTGGTATATTCTTCAACTGGTGACCAAGACAGTACTGGAAGAGGCACCAACATCTAATAATGGGGATGATTTTCAAGTACTGCTCTTAGTACAATAGAATGATTGCCATTTACATTTGTAACAGCGCTGCAAGCAACTTACCGGAACAAGAAATTTTTTAATTTCTTCCAAGGCATGACTCATCCGTGAATAAGCTTCACCAGGAGGGGCAAACACTTCAATTAATACATGTAGTTCATCACTCAAGTGTGCATATTTGGCTTCCCCACTTTTTCTTAGTTCTTCTTCCTGTGGAGAAGAGTATTTTTAGAAATCACTTTGCATTGATTTAACATTTGTAGAGTAGTAAACCAAAGGTCATAAACTAGGCAGATTTTCAGCAAAATGAGGCCCTATGAGAAACAACAAAATTCTTGAATAAATTACTTGAAGATCTGAAAATCCCTTTGTGTGAATAATGAAAACTAGCATAATTAATATCTGTAATAGAATTTAATCAATAAAACAAAGGATGGTTAATGCCTCACAGTGTTGAAATTTCATGACAGTGTAAAAAATCCCATTTCTAAAAAAAAAGAAAAAAATAATCCATTCAGATTTCTTTCACCAGTGTCCCTGATGTTACAAACTCTGTAAAATATATCCTGAAGTACTATTTATTTTGTTCTGTTTACATACCACAGTTCATCCCAACAAAGAGTTGCGCACAGAATATTTTAGTAAAAGAAGAAGAAACAAGCTGGAAGAAACAATTATCAGTAAAACAGTTTAACAAACACTTGAAAAATAGCACTCGTAACAACTAAAAGCATTTATCAAGGCAAAAACGTATGAACATGGTAGATATAAGGAAATCATTCTTCTCTAGAAAGTCAACCACTCTGGGAGAAAAAAAAATATTTGGGCTGTGGTTCTGGATACACACTGGAGCAAAAGGAATTCAGCCAAAGCTTATGAAATACCCAGGCCTTGGCATTTTGGTATTATCCCTAATCTTCTGTTGCAGGTGCTTAGACAGAAAACCCGGTTTATATTTTCCCCATATTCCAATTTAATGCAATCTGTATGATGGCCAATGTATATCCATGTAATAATCAGAAGCAGAGCTCAGCTCTAGGACATTTTCTCATGCAGATTTCGTGACACTTTTATGTTAAATACAAATTCTAGACTAAATGTTCTACTAGAAAGATGGAAGGAAAGAAACTCTCCTTTGAAGAACTAGTGGAGGCTTTCTCTTGCCATTTCCCATATAACAGGAAATTTATCTTCAGCACCACAAATCAATTGCTGTGGCATTTTGCAGGAGTGTGGACAACTGCCAGCCTTTCAGCCATTGAAGAAAAAACAAAGAAGTCACAGTGGTAATTTCTTCCTATGGAATTTTTTTTTCTTCCTACTGTTTTTCCTGCATGAGCAGGGTCCACTTTTTTCAGATCAACCAAACGCTGATCTGTTGGTTGTGACAGGAATTGACTGGCCAGCTTGTTGTCTGAGCCTGATGTCTTGGGCTGAGAAAGAATGACTGAGAAGTGACCTTTCTATGGAAATGCTATTCACAAACTGCTCTCTTTCTTCCACCAAGAAAAAAAAAAATCAAATGAGTATTTAGCCACTATTTGTATTCATATATTTTCCTGCATATTGGTCAGAGAAATGTGTTGTAGTAGTCAGTCTTTTTTGTTTTTAGGGCTCAGCGTAGCTTTTTCAAAGACCAGTAGTCTTTCTAGACATTTCCTTCATAGCTCCTGACCTATGAATTCTATAAGGAAATATGGAGTTGTTGTACTTGTTTAGTTGTAAGATGCCGGGGGTGGGTGTGAATTTAGTTGGGAAGTGTGGGAGCTACAGAGGTTTCAGAATGTTGGAAAGATACGAAGCAGAAAACTAAACCAGCAGTTGCACCCTCCTTCACTCCTAACAACAAAGAAAGCATAATAACCTCATGAAGAGAAATTCAGAAGAAATTCTCAAACGCTCTCAGAATAAGGGAGAAGAAAAGAGCCTCATTTACAGGAGATTACATTTTCCAGAATTTTCAGTGTTAACTTCATCCCGGAAGCCCAGAAAGCATAGAGTTCTACTTCTGTCTAAAATTCCACAGAAGATGAACCCCCTTCTCCAGAAGAAGAGGGAAAATACTGAAGTTCATCATCTGGTATTCATGCAATCAGCTCTACTACTTTGTTCACTGTCTTTTGGGAGTAGAACTTTGCTGCGCAAGAAGGAACTGCACCAATCTGCAAAGTAATATGGGAAGAATGTGAGAAAGGGGAGACTGACTGAACCAACAATCGTGAGCTAGTTCTCCTGCCTTATTGTTAAGCTGAGTTTTTTTCTACAAAATGGGATCCCTGGGATTTAATTTCTAATTCAGTACTGAAGAGTGCTTTGAATCTCCCCACCCCACCTCATTTAAAAGTCACATGCACACTTTTAGACAGCTCACTGAATGAATTGATATCAGGGGACTGGAATCAGCAAGGCATATGTTACTGAAGTGATTTCAAGGATCCTTCATGGCCTTTGGGACATTCTCCAACTTCTTACTTTTTTTTCCCAGCTCTTCAAATCAGGTGTGATGGGAGAAAATCCAGATATGACTAAAACTTCCATCCATACTTTTTGTTCATGAACCAAAACATTAAATGAACTGAAAACTGAAAAACATAGCTGACTTTATATAGAAAAAGGTAATTAGTACTGAACAATTACATTCTTCTGGTTCTCTATACTCCTGGTTAATAATTTTTAGATATACCATTTTGCCAATAAGTATATTTTGAAAATGTTGGCCTTTAAACCATATTTTAACTAGCACCTGCTATATTGAAATGATTCCTGGCTCTTAGAATTTTTAGCACTTAGATAAATTTCAGGCTGGTTCTTCAGGAAAGAAAAGCTCAAGGTCATCCTTGCTAGAAAATCCAGATCCTACAAGTCCCTAGGCTCACTGAAAATCTCAAACTGCTAGAGGAAATTATGTTTCTTGATCTATCACCATTCCTCCATAAAGGTGGTGCTAACTACACTGCAGAATTTCATGGCCCATGGAAAATTTCAACAGATTTTAACTCAGTAGTGAAGCAATATCCTTCTATAGTTAACCAAGTGGTGAGATCTTCCTTCATTAAGATTCTCACCTGCCTTCTATAAAACAGGGTTTTTGCTTGATTTTGGATACTCTGAATTGATTTTACTCACCTTAATCAGACTTCATTCACTTTAACTGCCTCATTCAATGTTCACTGCAACTCTCAAATACTCACAAAAAGGAAGCATACTTTTGTTTGTGAAGAAAGAAGCAGTCACAGAAGAACTGCAATTCTAAAGTACAGATAGTCCTCACTTAATGACCACAATTGGGATTGGCAACTCTGTCACTAAGCAACACAGTCATTAAGTGAAACATCACCTGACCGTGCCAGACTTACAATGTCAGTTCCTCTGCGGTCATAAGCGAATCACCTATAGTTATTAAGTGCAATATCATGTAACTGTGACTTACTACTGGCTTCTCCACTGACTTTGCTTGTCGGAAGCCAGTTGTGAAGCTTGCAAATGGCAATCATGTGACTGTGGGATGCTGCAACTATCATAAATGTGTACCAGTTGTGAAGTGCCCAAATCACAATCATGTGACCATGGGAATGCTGCAACAGTTGTATGCTTGAGAACTGGTTGTGAAGCTACCTTTTCAGCACTGTCATAAGTTTGAGCGATCACTAAACAGGGCAGTCATTAACCAAGGACTACCTGTAGTACTGAGTTCAGTAGGAAGGAATGAAGATTTTTTTTTTCATATAACCTGTTTTGTTGTTCAATATTTTAAAATGTATTTTTACTCCTATACAAAAAGAATAAACGATGTCAGCTCCAGGTATGGTCAATTTTCCTCTGTTCTGTGGGCATTTCATGGGAATGGAAGGCTTTTGATTCTGCAGAGTGAAATCTTTATCCAGGCTGTCTCCAGAATGCATCCTTTTTGCTTTCTTCACCGACAAAGTTCCACTAATGGAGAAGTGATGGTAGGTCTGCTCAATGCTCTTTCCATGAGTGGAGGAGATCTGTGATTTATGGAATACTTAGGGATAATTAACATACATTTAAATGATCTTGCTTAAGTCTTGGTGAATAAGAGCTGGAGTAGCAGGAAAAAAAGGTTTGAGGTACAAATCAAAAGATTGCTAAATCTTTTCTACAGAATGTAAACCTGTTAGGTAGCCTTATATAAGGTATCATGTTTAAATTTCTTGATCATTCTGTTCACAGATGAGGCAAACCAAAACAAAGAAAGGCTCCAAAAATAATGTTCCTCATTATGAACTCAGGACTAATCACTATTGCTGTAAAGAGAGGAGAATGAGAGAGAAATATTACCTAGAGCAATGCCATTACTTTACGTCTAATTGTGTTAAGTTGTTCTGGTAGACTTCTGAATGATGTATGTCTGATGAAGCATGCAAAATTTGCAGGTTTTTCAGCCCACAATCTAAGAAAAGTGCAGGAAACTATGTCTGAAATTGATGTTACTACTGAATTCTGCATAACGTCAAAAGACCTCTATGTCTTTCCTGTTGAGGTCTAGTGCATATTGATCCTATTTTTAACCAGAAACTGATTGCTCTGGATGTGTACTTATTAAGAATTCCATAGCATAGAAAACAATAATTAAGTATTCTACTAATGAGGTAGAGGTAGCTATTAGGTATATCCAGAACATTCAGTTTCTCAGTTGACTTTGAAGTGTTGTCTCTAAAATGTTATTCTTTACGGCTGTTTAAAAGAAACCAGCATTAAGATGGAAAATACTGTATACTTTGCTCCCATTGCTACAAAATCTGTATTGTGGTATTGGGAGATTCAGCCAGTTGTGGTTAATGTAAAAATCATGAGTAAACAAGCCATGGTTTAGCCAATGTGTGTACCACAAAATCCTGCAGCCACAAAATCCCCACAACATTCTCATGGAGCCACAGGTTGCATTAGCATATATCTCCCTTGGATCAAAGCCTTCTGTTGAGGGGGAAAAAAAATCCATTCTTGGAAGGTACTGTCTGAGTCCAATTCAGAATTAGCTTTAAAAAAAAAAAAAATTATATTCCAATTCCCCTGGCAGAATTTTTTTTAAAATTTATAATAACAATTCATAGGTGTCAGCCTGTGACATTCAGAAAGTTACTGAAAACTTGGCTTGTCTCCCAGCCCTGGGGCAGATAGGTGGTTGAGTCCCTGTAGGTTGGTTTATTGTCATTTATAGTATATCTTCTGAGCACTTATTATTTAAA